TATATATATATATATATATATATATATATTTTCATGAACTAGAGAGAGAGCAAATTTCATAACCAACTCTACTCTTGACTCAAAAGAAAAATTAAGTCACAAGTAATTATATCTTAATCAAGAAAACTTATGCTTAAACTGTAGAAGAAACAGACCTATTAAGTTCTACACATCAAACCAACAATACTCCAGTGAACACAAGATTTAAGATCGGTAAGCAAACATTATGTCTTAGCTTAAACAAAACAAACTAAGAGAGAAAGCTTTCGAGAACATACAAAATATTCGCTTATATTGCTTATCCCAACAAAAATATAAGCAAATCTCGGTCACAAAAATTTAGGAGCAGCAAAACGAACACCTAAGGTCACACAGAAACAGAACTATAACGAAAAATATTCAACCCATCTCAAAGTGGAATTCAACGACACAATATGATAAACTTAAACTACTAAACAAGATATGACGGTGAATGAACATAAAGAGGCATAAAATTACCTTTCGTCGGGCAGCCAACTGGGATCGGACGAGCTTGGAGAGTTCTATTCCCCCACCAACAACTTAAAGAGTTCCAATCGAGCAGCGGGAGGGTCGAGTTCAAGAGAAGAAACCAAAAATGAGATGCTCTTTAAAACATTAGTTGATTTTTAGTCTCTAATTCAGTCTCAAAAAAGCTTATGTATTTCACTGTGTTTTATCCTTTTTCCTTGACTCAAAATTTCCGAACAAAAACAAACTCCTCACTTTTGCAATTTTTTTTTCTTTTCCCCTTTTCCCAACAAGCCGAAGGGGGCTTCTATATAGATGGGGATTTAGGGTTCGTTTTTGGGGGGAAAGAGGCTGATTTTCGGGTAAGAGTAAGACATATTTCCAAAATTCAAATCTTTTCACCATTAGGCTAAACACCTTTTTCTGAAGCTTCAACCTTATTCCAAAAGAGGAAAGGGAGGGGAAACGCGTGCTTGCTTTTGCTGCACTGTTGGTACGAATTTGGAGAGAAACGTTGGACTGGACTAGGCTCGCAATTTTGGGGCTGCGATGCTTTGCGACATTGCTGGACTGCTGGTGCGTTTCTGGTTACCACGTTGCTGGGTTTCTCCTCATTTTTGTGTGAAGGAGAAGACCAAGACGTATAGGGGTGGGGTCGGTCACATGGGTTTGATGTATGCAAATAGTTATAATTGTATGTTGTATGTTAGTGGGCCCCTAGGAATGGATTTCTTTGGTGTTGGGCTGGGAATTAAGTAGCGGGCTGTTTGGAATCAAATTAGGCTGAAAATTATGGCCCAATTTTGGGTCTTGAAGAATTGGGAGGCTACGATAGCAAGTGGCTAATTTTGTCATTGCCAAATTCGAAACTTAGCTAAATTTAGCTAATGAATTAAAATTAATCAATTAACGGGCTTCTTAAATTCAACGAAATAAAATAATTAACTCGACTATAAAATAATTAATTTAATTACAAACTAATTAACTCAAAATTATAACTATCATTTAAACTAAACTAAATTAGTAGAATATTTAACTAAAATTTAAATCTTTTTGAGATGAATTTTCGAAATGTCTATAAAATATACTAATTATATACAAAATTATATAAAACATATATATTACTTAAAATGATAAAATTAATTAAAAGTAACTTTTAAAATATTTGAACTTTATATATAAAAAAATTAATTATTTCAAATTGTTTGGGATTTAAGAAGCTCGGAAATTAATATATATTGTGGAGGTCCAAAATTGGGTGTCAACAACTGTCCCTCGTTTGACTTGGATTGATGAAAGAAATCCGAGGAAAATGAAATTGACGAATCCAATTTTGAACGACCACATCTTCATTTTTTCGAAAGGGGGTCTTTGGTGCGGACTTTAGGAATTATGGCTGAACCCCGAAAGATGGGTTTTCTACATATCTCAGGCTATATGAGAATTCAGGCCACTTGTAGTTCGATAAGCTTGATTTAATGAAAGAATTCAAGAGTCATCCCTATACCGAATTATGAAGGCACCAGAATGCTCGGGAAGAAGATTTAAGAGCAAATGTTGGAATACAGCCGAGTTTCAACATCGATTCTGCCTACATATCCCTCAACTTAGGGAATCAGGCTGCTTGTAGTTCGACTCTATCGGTTGAAAAGGAATTTATTATGCAAGATAACCTTTGGTTTTGGAAAAGTGACAAAGCAAGTCGAGTATGAAAAAAGGCTTGCAACCACTTAGCCATGAATGTGGCGCGCTTCACACCCATAATTAAGAACTTACACGGACATAATTTCCAAATCTCTTGGTGCATTCTCACTCAGATTGTAAAGCTGCTTCCGGTAGAGATCAAAACATTTTCGGATGCGAAACTGAAACCATGAAACTGAAAGAAAAACCCACATGCCTTCTAATGGGGTGTGGTTTGATTGTGGTGGAAGTCGCTCCTCTGCTCGCTTCCTAAGAGTTTTGGCACTCCTCTTTGGACTATGTCCCAGTTCTCTGCTAAGAAAAAGTTCTACGTTGTGCCGCATCCTTTTTGATGTCGTCTGCACCTGTGGTTTGTTTTGAGAATTCATCTTCCCAGATGCTCTCGACAAAGACTGAGATAAAAATTATTAGCATAAAAATGCAATTCAGATGGAGATATAGTGTCTTTTACTGTGTTGACACTTAATTGCTCTCCTTGAACATTTGACGTCAACTCTATCGGGTTTGACGTAAAGCAAATAAAACTTGTGTCTTATATTTGCAATATAATCTTCAATGTACTCTTCCTTTGAATGTCAAAGCAATAAAATAAGCTGATGTAATATGTTGATGGTTCTCTTGATCTCGTGTTTGCAAAGAAAAATGATGCAGTTCATGTTGCTTCTCTTGTGATGGCCAAATCTTTCTTTTGTGATGCATAACTCTTTCTCATGCTATGCATGAATCCTTCTCTTGCGATGTATGAATTCCTTTCCCGCGATGCATGAATCTTCTCTTGCGATGCATGAATTTCTTTTCTCGCGATGCATGAATTTTTTCCCCGCGATGCATGAATCTTCTCTTGCAATGCATGAATATTTTCTTGCGATGCATGAATCTCCTTTCTCGCGATGCATGAATCTTCTCTTGCGTTGTATGAATTCCTTTCCGTAATAAAATAGGCTGATGTAATATGTTGATAGCTCTCTTTTGATAGGCGAATTTTTCCCGCGATGCGCGAATCTTTTTTTTTTTTCGCGATGTGAATCTCTTTTCTCGCGATGCATGAATCTTCTCTTGCGATGCATGAATTTGCAATATAATCTTCAATGTACTTTTCTTTTGACGTCAAAGTAATAAAATAGGCTGATGTAATATGTTGATAGCTCTCTTTTGATAGGCGAATTTTTCCCGCGATGCGCGAATCTTTTTTTTTTTTCGCGATGTATGAATCTCCTTTCGCGATGCATGAATCTTCTCTTGCGATGCATGAATCTCTTTTTTCACGATGTATGAATCTTTTTCCCGCGATGCATGAATCTTCTCTTGCAATGCATGAATCTTTTTCTCGCGATGCATGAATCTTTTTCCCGCTATGCATGAATTTTTCTCTTGCTATGCATGGTTAGTCCTTTGCAATGCATGAATCTTTTTTCTCGCGATACATGAATCTCTTTCCCGCGATGCATGACTTCTTTTTGCTATGCATGGATCTTTGATCATGCCTCATTGATACCGAACGAAGATGATGCTTCACCCAGCAACATATGTGATCTGCTAGGTATCTCTTGGACGGCGGTGTCGTCTCAATCGACAATATAAAAAAAAATGACCCTCGAAGTAGTGGTATCATCTCATTTGACAATACGATATAAATGNNNNTCTTGGACGGCGGTATCGTCTCAATCGACAATATAAATAAAAATGACCCTTGGAGTAGTGGTAAAAAGTGACCCTCGAAGTAGTGGTATCATCTCATTTGACAATACGATATAAATGACTCTCCGGGTAGTGATATTGTCTCAATCGACAATATAAATAAAAATGACCCCTCGGGTGGGAGATATTATCATATCTGATAATATAATGCAAATAAATATCTTCTAGGTATCTTTAGTTGCTGGAAAATAATAATATTTCTCTCTTCAAGGGTTTCTTTTGTCCCATCTCCGAACATAATTACATGTTCATTATAGACTTCGCTTTGTAGGGAATTGAATGAAATAATGTTATTCATAATTCAAAATCTTTGATATAAGCAGCATAATCTATTTCTTGCGTCCACAGAAAAATTGTCAATTTTGGGGATCTCTTTGCCCTTTTGACTTCTCCACATTCATTGAATGGTGGAATATGCCGATTTTGAGGTGAACTTATAGGCCTGCGTCCACAGAAAAATTGTTAGTTTTAAAAAAAAGAACTGATCTGTGTCGATCCCTTCGGTTGTCTGCTTCTTGTCTTGCTATCTCCGGTTGATTTCTCCGATCTCCTGCTCTTGATAGATAAGACGAAATATTTTTAAGCAAAATAATTAAAAGGTGAGGGAAAAGTTCTTTAAGGAAAAATAGATTTTCAAAAATAATGTTTGGGAAAGGTCACTGCCGAGTGTCATGTCATGTCAAACTTAATGAACGCCATTTGGAGGTGATGTCTCAAGATCTATCTGATTACTTGTTGGGGCGTGTCCAAAGTTGTTCTAGACTTCAGATGCACCTCATTGAAATTTTGGGGTCATCCTCAAAATTCCTGTCCCAATTAACTGTCTTGGCTTATCTTTAACCGTTGATGAGCAAATAACAGAATTTTTGAGATCTTCTCAAAAATTCTGTCCCAGTTGTAAATCTCAAAGTAACTTCAGTCTTGATTTTGTTGGAGAGATCTCTTTCTCGAGAATTTTTGCGTCCCTCTCAAAAATTCTGTCGCAGTTTCTATTGTAAAGGAAAAATAAAAATCTCACGGGAGATATGACTGAGCCGTTGTGGCAGGAATCATGTCAAACGTAGTTCCCCCTCTCGAGGATAAGCAAAAATAAGGAATTTTAACAATGAAACCGACCGAGGCCGACATAGGCCGCTTACGTATCTCATTCTTGAGAATTCAGGTCGAACGTAGTTCAAATACAAGGGATAAATTTTTGAACAAAACGATTACAAGAAAATAGAACGATTACAAGGGAATGACAGAAATACAAACTGAAACCTCACACGTAGTATCTCTTGACAGCATCTGAATTGATTGGTTTCGCCATTCGGTGCCGTCCATCTCCGACAGGACCAAGACACCTCCAGATAATACTTGCGAACCATGTAGGGTCTTTGCCAATTTGGTGCAAATTTCACTTTATATTCATCCTGGTGAGGGAAAATACGTTTGAGAACCAACTGACCATTTTCGAATATTCTGGCTCTTACTTTCTTGTGGAAAGCACGAATCATTCTCTGTCGATAGAGTTGACCGTGACAAACAACAACCATTCTTTTCTCATCAATCAATGTTAGCTGATCAATCCGCTTGCGAACCCATTCAGCATCACCCAATTCAGCTTCTTGGATGATTCTCAACAAAGGTATTTCAACTTCTGCAGGTATAACTGCTTCTGTTCCATATACTAGCAAATATAGAGTAGCTCCAACTGATGTTCTGACAGTCGTTCGGTAACCCAACAAAGCATATGGCAACATCTCGTGCCAACCTCTGCGATTATCAATCATTTTCTTTAAAATCTTCTTTATGTTCTTGTTAGCAGCTTCTACAGCTCCGTTCATTTGGGGACGATAAGCAGTTGAATTTCGGTGAGTAATTTTGAATTATTCACATATCTCTCTCATCAAGTGACTGTTGAGATTCGCTCCATTATCAGTAATAGTGGATTCTGGCACTCCAAACCTACATATCAAATTATTGCGAACAAAATTAGCTATAACTTTCTTGGTCACCGACTTATACGAAGATGATTCTACCCACTTGGTGAAGTAGTCAATGACAACCAAAATAAATCTGTGTCCGTTAGAGGCGGTTGGATCTATTGGACCAATGACATCCATGCCCCAAGCTACAAAGGGCCAAGGTGAGCTCATGGCATTAAGTTCGTGAGGTGGGACTCGAATCAAATCTCCATGCACTTGACATTTATGACACTTCTGCACAAACTTGCAACAATCA